AGGGGAGGAGGGATTTTTGTCCTTATTGAGTCTGGATGGGAAGGGTCTTGGCGTCGGTGCCTGACGGGTACTTCTGATCTGCAAGGCTGATTTTATTGAAATGAAGGCATAGAGAGCAAAAGTTACATTCGGACACGGGAGATCCCCACCTTTTCCCATCTTTCTTTGTTGGCCTCCAGGCCACTTGTCACCCCCAAAATGCGTGATTTCGTATCAGTCCAGAGGTTCCCACTTTTCTCTGTCTGCCCAAAGGATCCCTGTTGTTCACAAGATGTAGGGGGCCTGGGGAGGGACAGGGGACTGAGCCCACCCACAGGCAATGCCAGGGACAAGGGGCTGGCTAACCAGGCTGGGGCAGGGGTGGCAGACAGCGAGCGGCCCCAGAAGTTCTCCCAGATGCTGAGTGAGGCCCGGGGGACAGACAGCCCCCTAACACCAGCACCCAGGATGGATCCCCAGCACTGAGGAAGCCCCTTGGGGTGCTGGGAAGGAAGTGGGGACCCTGGGGCATGGAGAGACATTCTCTGATAGCCGTTCAGGGGCAGGTGGCAGTCCAAGGACTGCGGGCAGACGTAGGGACATGCCAAAGGTGCACCCTGCAGTGCTTCTAGGACACACCAGCTACTGCCAGTATGTCCCCTGCCCCCACACCCACGTGTAACCTGCGTTTGTACCACTTCCCATCCAAGAATGAAGCCACAGAGCACATCAGTGCCATCTGGAGCTGAAGTCTGGGGTCAGAGAAAGGAAATTGTAGCTGAGAGGAGGGGGCGGGGGGAGTTAAGAATATGACATGATTTTGGTTTATCTTTTTCAAGGGAAAAGACGTAAGCTACATCCAGCCTGATCTTTCTTCTGAAAGGCTCCTCTGAGATTCAGCTCATCCAGCAGACACCTGCGGGCACCCTCTGAGCACAGGTCCCAGCCACAAGTCCCAGGTACTCCGGCCCCCGGATGCTCTCAGGCCAGAGGGCCAACAGCGGTCAGAGTGAAGCTCAGAACGAGAGTCCTGCTGTCGGACAGGGCTGGGACAGAGTCCAGCTTCACCTCTCACAGCGGTGGGGCCTCAGTCTTGTCATCTGTGAAATAGGACTGATGGTAGCAGCTAGCCCTGGGGAGAAGGGGTTAGAGGAGGTGACGAAGGGGGACTCTGTGGCCAGGTGCTGGCCCGGAGCAACAGCAGGCCGGTACCGGTGGGGCAGGAAATAATTCCTTCCTCCGTCCCAGAAGCGACCTCCCACACACAGTTCTCTTGCCTTCGAAAGCAGGTGGAGCCTGGTAGTTGAAAGGGCTTTTGTTTGTTAAGAAGGATATGATAGCCTCCTCCAGGCCTGGATATGAAAGTTTAAGACCAAAGGGACAGAGCTGGACTTTTCTGCAAAAAAAGACGCTGAGGGGGTGGGGGCCCTGGATGGCTTTAGGGGCACCGTTGTCAGGAGACAGAGACAGAGACAGAGAGAATTCTCTCTGCTCTGCGTGGACGGAGCAGGATCTTGAGAGGGCTACCGGTGTCTAATGAGAGTGACAAGCATGTTTGCTGGGTGAGGGGAGGCGAAGCTCTCACCAGCAGGGCCCCCCAAGGATGGCCTGTTGACCCCCACTGCCAGCTGGCGCACTGGCCATTTATGGAGAATGCGAGGCGAGGCAGGGACTGCTCCGGCTTTGGGTCCTAAGCTGCGGTCACCCGCTGTCCCTGCCCTGTGTCCTCTTCCAGGAGGGAAGTCTCATTTAACCCTCCTGTCTCCTGGGCCCCAAGGGTGCCATGGGAACCTGACAGGCCCTCGGTTCAGAGGGGAGGGGGTCAGGACAGCACAGCTGAGTCTCCCTGCAGGGAAACCAGGGAGCACTTTGCAGTCGGGGACCCTGAGTGAGTGTTTGCCAGGCAGCCGGCTGGTCGGGAGAACCTTCAAGGATCAGCAGGAGCAGGTACGAAGCAGAAAAGGGCCTCTGGGAGGTGAGCTATGTGCCGTGTGCACAAGCATGTGGGTGTGCATGCATGTGCATGGTGTGTAGGGGCAGCCAGGTAGGGGAGGCCAACAGGCCCTCCCTGATAAGGGCCTTCCATCCAGGCTGCAGAGCGCGCCCTGGCCCCCGAGGCAGGGGCAGTGGGAGGGGAGCTCTTGCCTGTAGTGCTGACCTGCGGGAGGAGCCAGGCGTGGACGCCGTTGTAGTGACTGGGGAGAGAGGCAGCCTAGGCAGGCGGGGGTGGTGGGCACAGGCAGGAGGGTGAGGAGGCCTCCGGGGACACTGAACTGGCTGAGTCCCAGCTCCTCCGGTGGGAAGGGGCAGCCAGCAGCCTCACCAATGGGACCACACAGTGCCTGGTACAACTAGCCAGCAGACACTATAGGGCTTACGTGACCCCAGGAGAGGGGAGTCTGGAGTCCCTCCTGCCCCTAGAGGTGGGTGGGCTGCGGGGTCTGGACCGCAGCTCCTCAGATTCTCTGAGCTGCCCGCAGATAAGATCACCAGCTCTGTGCTCACGCCCTGACCTCGGAGTGAGGGTCGGCTGTCCTCGGATGAAGACCAGCCCGCGGGGTGAGCAGCCCTCGGCCTGGTACCAGCAGAGGCGGGGGATGTGAGTTTCACCGCGAGCACCCCCACTGCAGGCGGCTGGACGGACGGGCAGGTGAGCCACCATCTGCTTTTTGGTGTGTTTTGCCTGCAGTGCTGTTGACTGACTAGCCTGCGGGACTTTCCGTCCAGACAACCCTCGGAGCAGCCGCCTCGGAACCCAAGCGTAGCTGGTGTGTGGAGCAGATCACAGCCCGCGGACCCCCGGGTCTGGCCGGGATGCAGATCCAGCAGCAGCAGGTGCGGGCCAGCCGGAGACTCTGCATTTGAGAGGTGAGGGGGTGAGAGGTCACCCTGGAAAATCTACAACAAATAAACCAACAAAAGACAAAAACAGTGAGCCGGTCCTTGGAACCCCAGCCCTGGAGATGCACACGCAATGTTCCACTGAGGATTCCCCGGCTGAAGCCCAGGCCACACCAACCCTTAGTTAACCAATAGCCAACACGTGCTGGCACTGGCCTGTGGCCCAGGACTCGGGGGGAGCGGGGCGGGTGAGCCTCCTGGCCACGCGGGGCTGCCTTCTGGCTAGGGAGACAAGCTAACAACAAACTCATTTCTCTAGGGGGGGAAGTCTCTCCTGAGCTCATGAAGCTAAAACCCCTGGGCTCCTCTTGCTCCAGTCACTCCACGACCCCCGGCCCCGTGTTCAGATGTAAATTTGCAGATGTGGGAGTTTCTCCAGTCTCTTTCCACTCTGCCCTTAATGCAAACTGCGCTGTATGCGATTCTGACCCCACGATCCCTGTTTCCACCCCTGGATTTCAGAGTGACAAGCGCTATGAAGCGATTAGGTGCAGAATCAGGAGGTGGGGTGTAGGGTGGGGAGAGGAGACCATGCCTTGGGGGTGGAAGGCAGGCAGGCTGGTGGGGCAGACATAGGGCCATAGGTTGGCATTGACCACAGCTAGCTTGGGGCTTGGCCTGAGCTCCCTGGCGGCCAAAGGAAGACATGGTCAGTGATGTGACCGTCACTGTAAGGTTTGGTTCTTGGAGGAACACCTGGGTTTCATCTTCCACCAAGGCCCATATGGCTGTATGTGAAAGCTTCTGTGGACCAGGAGACCAGGAGTAGCTGGCCTTCTATCTTAATTTGTGTGTTCCCTAGTCCTGATTTTTCATTTATGATATACCAATTTTAACGTTTTGATGTAGATCACCTCAAACATTTTTCAGACAAGGTTGGGTATAACACATGGACAAGCTTGGCCCACCTCAGGGGTCTGCCCCTTTCTGGGGAGCAGGGGCAGCCCCAGCTAGAAGCCCCAAATGAGTGTCCAGAGCTGCTGTGGGACCCGGGCTCAGCACCCACCCTCCCTGGGCTGCAGTCTCCCCATGGCAGGCGAGGCACAGCTGGCTGGTGTCTGGGGCCTCCTTTCACCCCAGGGTGGAGGGATCTGTCAGAGCTCAGGGGCCCCATGGACAATGGTCACACCTGGTCCTGGGCCTATGTGCCAGCAGGTGCCACCAGAGTCCCCAGGGATCAGGCCAGGCCCAGCAGCCCACAGGGGCCTGGGATGCTCAGACCTTCATAATGGAGCCCCAATATCTGAAGGTGAGGGCAGAACAGGGCCCAGCCCCTCGGTGCAGGCAGAGCCCAGCTAGCCAGGTCCCCGCCACAACTTCCACCCTTTGTCTGGTCCTTCTGCCTTAAGGGGACCCTGCTGATAATGCTCCCCACCTCCCCCGTCACCCTCCCAGGGTGAGCTGGCCCCAGGCCTCCCCTGGGTTCCATAAGGGAGCAGGGGAACGGGGGGGCGGGTCAGGGATCTCAGCCCCACCAGCCGAGCTGAGTGGCAGCATTCTTGTTGATTCTCAGACCAGGGACAGACTTCTGGCTTTGTCCCCACCCCCCAAACCTGGTTCCTCTGAGGCTGGGGTTACTTCTCTCCAGGACACTGTTCCAGGGCACCTTCTGAACGCTGAGCGGTCATGAGGCCCTGTGCAGTCAGTATGTTTCCCCATCACAGACCACAGGACTGAGCTCCCACCCTGCCGCCCCCACACCCCACCCAGGGCTGGAGCCGGGGCTCCTGGCCCGTTCCTCCCATGAGACGGGAGAACCTCGTCCACGCAGACAACTCGCCCTGCAGAGCACTGGGGGCTGATGCTTCCCGCCGGGCGTCCACCTCCCTCCCCCGACCACCTGGCTCCAGCACCCCGTCACGCTGCTCACCCGCCCTGGGTCTGTCCTTTACTGCTCAGAGGGCGTCCCCTCCCCACCTCCAACAGAATATTAACTCCACGAGAGGGGAGCACTTGGAAGGGGGTCTGGGGTCTCCCACCTAGCCCAGAAGGCTCCTGCCAGAAGCCCAGAACTGGCCCTGGGAACCTACCCCCTCTGGGGGAGGGGAGGGGAGGCCCCCGTGAGGGTGAGGACCCTGGGAGGATGTCCTTGGGGCCTGGCATCGCAGACACAGCTTGGGGGCCAGGTAGACAAGTTTTATTCCACCTGCTCTCTGCCCACGGCCACCTTGGGCAAAGAGAAGACACGGCGCTCAGAGAGTCTGGGACAGAGTCACGCACAGGAGGTCACACTGTGGCCTGAGGTGAGTTAGGAGGGAAGAGGCCAGTCTGCTACCGACCCCATCACTCTGGGGGCCTGGCCAAGCTGAGGGATTCACAGTCTCCAAGGTGTGGACATCGGAGGGCTGGGGCGGGCAAGGGTGGTGGGACGGCTATGGCAGCTCCACACACACAAGGCTGCCCCAGGCACCTAGCGAGCCCCGCACGCAGACGCCCCAGGACACAGTGGTGCTGGACCCGGGGCAGCGACGGTTTTTCCCACAAAGGCTCAGGCATGCCCAGGTGGCTGAGGCCCACGGGGGACAGGATGGGACAGAGTAGAAAACTCCCGCACTCACGCACCAGACACATGGGGTCAGTAAAACACGAGGCGCTCACACGATGCTCTGCCGGCCCCCGGCCCCCTCAAACTCAGACGTGCCAGAGCCAGCGCCCCGGCCAAAGTCAATGAAGATCCCTTCCGAATCTGAGTCGACAGATTCCAGGATCTGGTCCACCAGGTTCTCGGGGCTGGAGGAGGCTGGGGAGCCGCGGGCTGGGCCTCGGCCGGGCTCGGGGGACTGGGCTGGCGGATACAGTCTGCTGGGGCAGGGCCCCGACTGGGGGGCCGGGGAGGATCTGAAGGTCCCAGCGGGGCCCTGGCCGGGCGTGTCGGCGAAGCCCTGGGGCTCGGGGCAGGACGTCATCTCGGAGACGGAGTGCCTGCGGATGCCGGCACCGCCGGCCGCCGCGCCCTCGGCCTCGTGCTCGGCCACGGGGTTCAGCAGTGGCGTGTTGTAGCTCTTGGAGCGCACCACCGGGTTCTTGGCCAGGACGTCCCCTGAGCGGGAGCGGCGCAGGAAGTGCTTCTCTGCAGAGAGACAGGTGGCGGCGTCAGGCACGGGCCACTCCGGGCACTGCCTGCTCCAGGCCCTCCCTCTGGCCAGATACTAGGGAGCACCTACTGCGTGCATCTGCTGCGCGCCTGGCTCTGCACAAAAGGTCCACTACAGGCAACAGCCCGACTGGTGCAGACCCTGCCGGGGCGGAGTAGCCGGGCGAGGGGAGTCGGTGCTTCCACCCCTGTAAGTGATCTCGTCTCAGCCTGGACGGGCCGGGGTGCGGGGCCTCGTCAACCGCTGGGTTCAAAGGTGCACCATGCCCGCCCGTAACCTGTGTGCCTGCTAAGTGCCCCACCTGTGGGAAGTCGCCAGTCTCAGCACCTGCCAGGCGCCAGCACTTCGCTAGGTATGGGGGCCTAGATATCCCTCTGGGTGGGCACGGGTCAGGCAGTGCTAAGTGCCCGGACGGGGCGCCACCTGAGGTCGGGGCTGGGGTTTATCCTGAGTGCGCTGGGAGCTCTCAGGGGGTTGGGGGGTCAGGGGTGGGGAGGAGAGAATAGTAAAGGGCAGGTCTCAGGCTCCCACTCAGGGCCCTGCAGTTCTGCAGAGTGACCACCAGGTGGCAGGACTGAGCACGGTGAGCGGCTCAGGGGCGGCTCCTGGACCAGAGCAGAGGCTCCGAGTTCTCCTCCAGGTGCTGCGGTCCCGCCCGAGCTGAGACACGGTGCTGGGCAGGTTTATACCGGAGGTGGGTGGGCACTCTGGACGAGGGGACACCGCTGACCAGCCCCTGTGCCACTGTCCCCTTGGTTCTCTTCATGCACCTCTTCCCGGGCTGGGCCCTCCCTGTCCTTCAGCTCAGTGGTCACTTCCCAGTCTGGCCTTCCCCGACCTCCCTGCCCATGGCCCTTATGTCACCTGGGCACGGGTCACCTCGGGCACTCACCTGGGGATGGTTTACTCATTAGCCTGCCTCCCGGGGGGAACAAGAGCCCATGAAGGTGGGGCTTGGTCTCTGCTGAAGCCCCAGGACCAAGAAGAGGGGCTGGCGCTCAGCAGGTGCTCAGTCTACAGCCCCGAATGAGCCAACGGGGCCAAGCCCATCTGGTAAAGGGGAAACGCCAGGCCACGCCCACCCCACAACCCATCCAGCCCCCATGAGTCCCCAAACAGGCCAGGATTTCTTGGGCTCCAGGCCTTTGCATGTGCTGTGTCCTCTGCCTGGAAAACTCCTAAGTTTCAGGACTGAGCATGGATGGGAGCTCCTTGGGGGTGACGGGGCCTCTCGGGGCTCTCAGGGGAGTCACTGTAACACCACTTATGGTGTCTGCCCACTGAGTCCTCCTCAGCCTTTGAAGGAAGGATCCCAGGTGACCCACCTCCGTGTGACCAGTGCCCAGCACACAGCACAGCTGGAGGATGCTCTGGACAGGTTAGCTATGTGGCTGAAACGCAAATCCTGCTGGGATCCTGGTTCTGCACGTCTTTTCACTGGGAGGTCTGGGCCCCGGGGGAAGAGGTGGACGAGGCCAGTGGTCAGCCCGCTCCCCACCCAAGACCCAGGCGACCCCTACCCAGGATGCAGGAGTGCGTGAACGAACCCTCGCTGGAGTAGAGGCCGTAGGTGCCCAGGTAGGGTGACACCACCTTCTGGATCAGCGACTCCAGGCGCAGGTAGTCCTTGGTCACTCCCCGGGACTCATGCACCCCCTGCAACAGGGAGGGAGGGAGGCAGGAGGGTCATGGGACAGCCTGTCCCCTGCTTCCCTAGCCCAGCGGGCTTGGCTCAAAGGCCACCATGATCAGCCCCGCCCCCCCAGTTCCCAGGGGGCCCTGGCCCCCAGGACGATGCCCACAGCGCCCTCCCTCCCCGGCCGTCTCTCAAGCTGGGCCCTCTGCGCCCCTCTCCTCTTCTAACGTCCTCGTGGCTGCCTGCTGCGCACAGTGGCTGCTGTGGTCCAAGAGACGGTGATGCCTGTGGGAAAGGGCTCTGTGGCTAAATGAGGCTGGGTTCCCTGCACGCCCCTTCTCGGGACATCGTGTGTCCCCTTCCATGAGCTGGCTTCCTAGGGGCTCCGGGCAGTCCTGTGGGGCCAGCTGTGTCAATGGGCCCCGACCCTCACTCCCTTGCCTCGTGGAGTACCGTGGGCACGAAAGGCTGTCCCCCGGGGCCGTCAAGGGCAGTCAAGGCCCACCAGCTGGGCAGTCAAGGCCCACCCATCAGACAGAGCCCTCCCTCCCCGTCCCACGTGGCTGCCCCCACCAGGTCTCATCCAGCTTCCCCCCTCAACACCTCCCCTCATCCAGAGCTTCAAAGGGAACTCCACCTCCTCCTGTTTCACTTGAGCCAAAGCCTGAAGAATGAGGCTACCCACGGGACAGCCTTGGTCTTGCCCACCCAGTCATGAGCTGCTCAGGGGGAAGCCCTGTGCTCCCAGCACCCGCAGCAACGGGCAGCACACGGCAGGTTTTTAGGGAGTGCTTGCTGAACAAATGATGTCTCAGTGGATGAATGAATGAATGAAAGACATTGCTCCCGAAGGAGCTGCCAGCAATTAAGAAACAAGATTTATCCAAGTTAATGTCAAATGATGGTTGAAGACAGCGAGAGAACCCAGTTATACACAGCCTACAAGAGACCTACTTAACCTATAAAGACACACAGATGAGGAGTAAAGGAGACAGTTACACGTGGTAACACGGGTCACGATCACAGACCAGAGCAGGAGTGGCCACGTCAATTTCAGACAGGACAGGCTTCAGACCAAGGAGCATGACAGGGGCGAGGAAGGTCATTACCTAATGGTAAACAGGTCAGTTCTCCAGGATGACATAACAAGCTTTACTGCGTATGCACCAAACAAAAGGGCAGGGAAGTATGTGAGGGAAAAAGTGAGGGGGAGAGAGAGAAATCCACTCTCACAGCCAGAGACTTCAACAGCCCTCTCAGAAACAGATCTCGCAAGAAGAAAGTCCGTAAGGACACAGATGAACTCAGTAACACCATTGATCCATTGGACAGAATCAGCATTTATAGAGAACTTTGTCCATCGACAGCAGAATACGTTCTCCTGAAGCTCACAAGGGACATTCGCCAAGAGAGACCACATTCTGGGCTGTAAAACACCCCTCAACATGGTTAATAGAACAGAACTCATACGACGTCTGCTCAGACCACAGAGGAATTAAACCAGGAGTCAGTAACAGAATACTAACTGGGAAATCCCCTAATACATACAGATTAAACAACTCACTTCTAAATAACTCATGGGCCATAAAAGAAATCTCAAGAACTATTTTAAAATATTTTGAACTAGATGAAATGAAAACACTACATCCAAATTTATGGCATACATCGAAAGCAGTGTGTGGAGGGGATTTTATAGCAACGAATGGATATGTTGGAAAAGAAAAGAAAAAAACAACAACAACAAATAAAAGGTCTAAAATCAATCATCCAAGCTTCCACCTTAGGAAACTAGAAAAAGAAAAGCAAATTAAGTCTCAAGTAAGCAGAAGAAAAGAAATAAGAATCAGAGCAGAAATCAATGAAACTGAAAACGTGAAATGGATAGTGAAAAATCAACAAAACTGAACGCTGGTTCTTTGAAATGATCAACGAAGTCAACAAGCCCTAGCCAGGCTGAGAGAGAGGGACGGAAGACACCAGTGACTCACGCCAGAAGCGAAGGTGGGGACGTCGCTGCAGACCCCGCGGACCCAGCTGTGCCTGGAAGGAGGCGGTGGACCCCAGGGGTGCCCCCCGGACGAACGGGGAGGAGCTGCCCCCGCTCCCAGCGCCAGTGCCGTGGGGGTGGGACGGCGTGACTGCCGAGCTGTGCTGGCGTTTCACAGACTTCATGCTGTTTCATTCCCAGAACTTGTCTCTGAAGTCTGGGCTCTGCCCCCCATTGTGCAGTGAGGAAATGGAGGCCCAGCGGCTGCCTTATTTTTGTGCACTCAGAGGGGCCGTTACCCGGCTTCTGGGCCCCGTGAGAGGGAACCGAGATTCGGCCGGTGCAGCAGGGGGCGCACAGCAGGTCTTCAATGCACAGACCAGGAGCTGTGACCTCAGACCCATCTGGGACTTGAAAACAGTGGGGACAA